CCTGTTTTTTAGGTGTTTCTTTGGCTGTTTTCAGGCCATTTTCTGGGGCTCCGGTGCCCATAAAGACCAGTTGGGGACGGTGGCTGTGCCCAGAGAGAGGGGCTCTGCGTGCCACCTCTGACACCATGCGTGCCACAGGTTTGCCACCACTGCCCTATTGTTTAAGTGGCTTAAAAAAGGCTATTATAAGACATGGAATAGGAGGTAGAATTGGCTAGAGAAGAGGTGTAAAATTAATACCTAATGAGTACATAGAAAGTACAATTAAAGGAAATGGTACACATTCAGAGAGTAACAGAGGTGTAAATGTTGTATATATTATATAAACGAGTAACTATGAAATAAGGAGGCATATGTATAAAACAAGAGGCCTTAGAATGGAATCCCAAACTAGAAAAAAAAAAAGTGATAACGGAAAAATGTAACCGTGATTTTAATGCTTAAAAATGTTGAATAAAAATTATTTTGTTTTTAAAAAAAGTCTTGCAATAAAATATGAATGTTTATACTGGGGGGGGGGGAATCAAATAAAAATTTATTAAAAAACCAAAAACCAAAGGGGTTGCAAGGAGCCGGGCTGGTGGGGTGGGGTAGGCCTATGGGCATTGTAGTCCTAGCTTTCCCCCCCACCCAAGGCAAATGAGGGTCATGGGTAGTGTAGTCCATGCCATCTAAGGAACTTTGCAAAGTGGAAAGCACAAGGCACGTATGTACAACACATCCCATCAACAAGAGGTTTGCAGACAGCCAGATTTGGGGCTGATGGGTGATGTAGTCTGTGCCATTTAAGAGACTCCCCAAGTGGAAACCATCGGACAATAGAACATGTCCCATCTACAAGGGGGTTACAAGGAGCCAGGCAGGAGGGCTGATGGGTAGTGTAATCTATAACCCCAAGTGGTTACAAGGAGCTGGGTGGGGGGCTGATGGGAAGTGTAGTCTGTGTCCCCAAGTGGTTACAAACAGCCGGGTGGGGGCCTGATGGGTAGTGTAGTCTGTGCCTGCAAGGGGTTACAAACAGCCGGGTGGGGGGCTGATGGGTAGTGTAGTCTGTGCCTGCAAGGAGTTACAAGGAGCCAGGCGGGGGAGGGGGGCTGATGGGTAGTGTAATCTGTACCCTCAAGAAGTTACAAGGAGCTGGGCAGGGGTTGATGGGTAATGTAGTCTGTGCCCCCAAGGGGTTACAAAGAGCCGGCGGGGGGGGGCTGATGGGTAGTGTAGTCCGTTCCATTTAAGAGACTTCCCAAGTGGAAACCATCGGGCAATTGAGCATGTCCCATCTACAAGTTGCAAGGAGCCGGGCTGGTGGGGGGGAAGCTGATGGGTAGTGTAGTCGCGCCCCCAAGGCAAACGATGGGCGGGAAGAACTCCCCCCGCTCCCTGGTGGGAGCCTCCCCCCTCTCCGCCCAGCGGCTGCCGGGAAGGGGACGGAGGGACCCCCGAGGGGGTCTCCCTCCACTCACCCACGCGGAACCCGGAGCCGGTCAGGGTGTCCATGGCGTGGCCGTTCTCGCCGATGAGCGTCATGTTGCTGCCCGGCTTGCAGCTGTCCCGGCAGTGGCCCTTCTGGCAAGTCCGCTCGCAGATGAGGGGCGCGAAGACCACCTTGAAACGCTCCCGCGCCAGCGCCGCCCGCTCCGAGGGGCCCGAGACGGCGGCGGAGGCGGCGGAGGCAGCGGAGGAGCCCCGGCCCGGCCAGCCCAGAGCCCGCGGCGGCCCCGCCAGTAGCAGCAGCAGCAGCAGCCCCAGCNCATCCTGGTTGCTCTTCTCTGCACTCTTTCCAGAGTCACAACATTTATATATGGCTTTTATATGTGGCTAAAGTCAAATTTAAATCTGGACAGGATGTGGGTTCTAGCCATGCCCATTTCCTACAACCGTCCATTGTCTGTTCTAGCCTCTAGTCCCCTCATCATCCTGGTTGCTCTTCTCTCCACTCTAGAGTCTCCACATCTTTTTTGTAATGTGGTGACCAAAACTAGATGCAGGATTCTAGGTGAGGCTTTACAGAGTGGTATTATTAGGTAAAGCATCTGTAGGCCAGCTGTTCCAGTGGTTATAGAAGTATTGTAGAAGTAAACTTTCTCAAGCTCAGCCCTCATCCCTCCTAGGTCCTCCGGAAGCTCCAGGACAGAAATTATTTATAAAAGAATAAATTCTGTGAATTGCCAAATGAATTACAGAGCCTTCCCCATCCCTGACCCTCTCCAATGGTAAAGCCAAGGGAAGAATGCACCTATGCCTTAAGGATAATTCAAAGAACGACGAAGCCCTTTTGTGAAATTTCCATCCAGCCTTGGTCTTTAGTTTTAGGATCATTTTCTAAGCTTTTCCAGAGGGGCTGGAAACTTGAGCATGTTTTTAAAGACCGAAGTTGAGCTCCCCAGGTCCAATCAGGACGATTCTCCTTTTTTTCTCTCTCTACCTGCTCACCTTTTGCTTGACTTTGGTGCAGTTGGGGAGGCTGTCTTTGCATCGGTTGTGGATGGTGACATTGCAGGCTGGGAAGGAAAAAACAAAGGCGGTTTGAGAAAGGGACATCAAAGGACATCACTTGCACACAGACACACATACACACATACAGTACGGGCGTGCGTGACTGATATCCTAAAGCTGAACTTCATCAGCAGGTGGGTGGGAGACCACCAGGAAATCCCAGGGCCATAAGACACCCTGGAAAATGTCTATGGAGATTCTTAGTCATCCAGATCACAGTTGTCACAAAGGTGGGTTTTTTGTTTTTCCAAGAGGCAACTGAACTTTCTGTTTTGTCTTTGAAGACATAGTCGTTACTTAAGGACTGTATTGCAGACTGGAGGTGGGGGGTGTTGTATCCCTCCCACTCTGTTGAAGGAGAGCTGTTCAATTTTGACACAGGTGGCCTCTTTGACCCCCCTTCTTTCAAACCAGCCTTCCTTTCTGTCCAAAAGAGTGGCCTTTGTCATTTAAATTCAGACGGACTGCTGGATTTTGTCCTGATGGGTTTGTTCTCCTATGTTGTGCCATGCGTTTTTGAAGTGGCTGTTTTGTTTCCCCAATGTACACCCTCCAATCTA